AGAATTGCCCGTTGGGTCCGCAATAGGGGCAAACCACGTGCCACGTTTACCCCAACGTTACACTACAATAACACGAGTTACACAGCCCCAAAGGAGAAAGCAGCCCTATTCCGAGAGGTCCTCCACCCAGAGCCCCCGGAGGCAGATCTGTCAGATATTGGGCCACAATATAGATATCCCAAACCATATACGATGCCACCAATCACGTTAGACGAAGTCCGAACGGCAGTAACCAACGTGAAGCCCGACAAAGCACCAGGGCCAGATGGAATCCCCAATCTGGTCCTACAAAGGCTGCTCCCTACTATCGAGGCCTATCTCGTTAATCTCTTTAATGCATGTCTACGTCAACAATACTGCCCTGACCATTTCTGAAAGTCGACAACAGTTATCCTTTGCAAGCCTGGAAAGCCTGATTACTCTGATCCAAAGGCGTACCGCCCAATAGCGTTACTGAGCACGATTGGCAAAGCACTAGAATCAGTGTTAGCCAGACGTCTCAGCTATCTAGTGGAGCAATATAATCTTTTACCAAAGCAACATATTGGAGGATATCGCGGCCGCTCATGCGAACTAGCAATCCATCTCTTACTAGAAGAGACCCATAGTGCGTGGAGAGAGGGCTCACGAGTAGCCTCAGGGCTTGCACTTGACGCGGCAGGGGCTTTTGATAACGTCAATCATATAAGGCTGATACACGACCTACGAAAGCGCCAGGTGCCAGATGACCTGATTGGCTGGATTGAGAGCTTTCTAAGCAATCGCCGCACGTCAATCACACTCCTAGAGGGCAATATGGGGGAATTTCTAGTCAATACAGGCATTCCGCAGGGCTCCCTATTGTCACCAATCCTATTCCTATTCTTTAATGCAGATCTTATTGAGCAGATACTCGCCGAGTGCCCGGACGTGATTGTACTTGGATATATTGACGACATCTTCATCATGACATATAGGACCTCCGCCGCAGCCAACTGCCACACACTCACCAAAGTACACCAGGTTGCAGAGCGCTGGGAGAGGACACATGCCTCTAAATTTGCGCCTGCCAAATATCAACTTACCCACTTTTGGCGGAAGCACCAAATGGTGCCTAAGCCGAGTGGTAGGCTGGATGTACCTCTCATAATCAAGGGAGTAGAAATTAAGCCTACAGACTCAATTAAATATCTAGGAGTTTATCTGGATACCCACCTCACTGGGGAAGTGCACGTACAGGAGATGAGAAAGAAGGCTGCAAAACTGGTGGCAGGATTAAGCTTAATCGCAGGATCGACATGGGGAACGCCCCTGGTTCATCTAAGGAAGATATACACGGCTGTCCTCCAACTACAGATCATATACGCGTGCTCCACGTGGTATATACGAGGTGGAAGAGGGTTCACCGGTGCGCAGCGAGCTGCAGAGCAAGCTATCCGATCGATCCAGGATCAGGCTCTTCACCAGATATCCGGCGCGTTCAAACGTACGTCACGACAGGCCCTAGAGGTCTGTCTCCATGTACCACCTGCAGAGCTCATGCTCGCAAAGCTGGCTGAGGAGGCCTGCCTGCGGATCATGACCTCACCACTTCGATCTACGCTTTACCAAATACGTGGCCAAGCCCACTGTAACGACCCATACACGTCGCCACTTCATCGATTGGAAACAGCCATCAACCGCAAACTGGGGAGTGATACTAGCCAACGCATCGAGACAATCTACCCCTTTGTAGTGCCACTGTGGTGGGAGCCATCAGAAGCAAGGATTGACGATACCCGTGAGGAGGCTATCAAGGCTATTGAAGTAATCTCAGGAATAGATATAACAATACAGTTCTTTACCGATGGGAGCAGCTTTGACAATGGGATTGGGGCAGCGGTCTACTCATCAATAGGACAGGCTTATAAGCTAGTAGGCTCATCTGACACACATACTGTTTATGCAGGGGAACTGGAGGGAATCGATGCGGCATTGGAAATCCTACTCCGAAGCCAGCCATGCGACGACAACCCACACGAAGCCACAATCTACACAGATAATCAAGCCGCAATACGCGCCACGTGCCAGCCAGGGCGGTCCTCTGGCAGTATATCCTTCGACGGATCGTACGACACCTGGGCCTCCTACGCGACAACCGATCTCGATGGCGTGTACGACTACAGTGGGTGCCAGGCCACGAAGGGGTCCCAGGCAACGAGAAAGCAGACCAGCTGGCAAAGTTGGCTGCAGTCGAGGCGACACGGCGTACACAGGAGAACGCCCGCATAGCTAGGATCAGCGCACCCAATCAGACTACACCACACGCCGCACGAATGTCGTATATTCCAAATCAGTCAACTATCCTTATGGCAGTGTGTCGCCAGAGGCTACATGCAGGCTTTGCAAAGAGGTGGAAGGAACAGTGGGAGCATGCCAACTATGGACGGCATCTCTATCGGATAATCAAAGCACCAACGAAGATGGTATTGCAGCTGCACGAGGGATTATGACGGGCTTGGAGTTCAGTGTTAATCCAACTACAAACAGGTAAATCAGCGCTACGCAGCTTCCTAGCGAGTGTACGGATTGAAGACTCACCTCAATGCGAATGTGGCCTTGGGGATCAGGATACGGCCCACGTCCTCATACGGTGTCCTACCCATATAAACCTGCGTATGGAGACTCTCTGGAAAGAAGCACGCGAAACAGATTATCGGAAGCTCCTTAGCGAACCTCAGTGGGTTCGGCAGAGTATTGAATTTATGATGCGGACTGGTCTATTGACGCAGTTCCATCACGTAACCCCCTTAACAACCACGCGCTCACAGTGAGTGCGACACTACCCTGATGAAGAGTAACCATGTTGATTCGGCTTGGACGGATCAGCCACTTGACACGTTTGGAAATAGAACCGGGCACCAAAACATAAATATCACGTCACCCCGCACCGAGATCCTTCACTCATTTTGTATATATACACATTTCCTTTGTTGGTTCGGCGTTCTGTTCGCTCGTTATCTGTTGTTGGTGGTCTTCGGATCTGGATACGGATACGTGTCGAGACTTTCGCGTGGAGTTGACTAAGTCAGCGTCAAGCCGGAAGCGTCTTGGCACGTTGACGTTGATTTATGCTTTTATACGGTAGTACGCCCGCTGCCCAATTAGAAGGCGCCGCCGGCCACTAGGCTTAGATGCGTGTATGAATCAATCAATCAATCAATCAATCAATCAATCAACACCCCTCACCAAAACAATTACCACAAATTATCGTGGCAGCTGCAAGTGGGTGCCGCTGCCAAGGCTCGCGTGCTAGCGCTTTATATCTAGCCACCGTAGGGCTTTTGCCCTAAGAACCGCACCAATTCTCGGGAACCCTTTTAAAAACCATCCGACCCGCCCACGGGACAGGACACCCGAGGCTAGCCTAGCTAGTGGTTAGTCCCTTATGGGGCAAGACTGTGACGGCCAATAAGTAGGCTGCGATGCCGATATTGGTAACTGGAAGCTCAGAAGTGGTTGGAGAGTGGGCGGTAGTGGAGCAATAGGAAAGATAAGGAACTATTGTATCTAGCTTGAGAGGACAGAAGCGGCAGCCGGTTACTATGGGTGCATATATAAATGTATAGTAGCTTAATGTGTATCCCCCCAATATCCCTAGGGGGGGATGAATAGGGGTGAGGGCACACTAGTCAGAGTTTGTACTGATTAGGTGTGCCCACGGGTTTGGAACTATAAGGGATCTCCGGAAGGATTAGCCTAGGGAGAGTGCCCAAAGGTCCCTGGCATATCGGCCACATGGGGACGAGATAGTGATTTATTTTGAATTTTTGTATGTAGGATTCTGATAGGGGTGAGGCCTTTAGGGTCTCACCAAGGCTTCCAGAGGTCTGTCATAGCCAATAGGGCTGGGTACGGACAATAAACTTGAATAATAATAATAATAATACATGCACTTCCCCAGTGAGGTGAGTATCCAGATAAACCCCTAGATATTTGATTAAGTCCGTACGTAGGCTTAATTTCTACTCCCTTGATTGTGAGAGGTACATCCAGCCTACCACTTGGCTTAGGCACCATTTGGTGCTTCCGCCAAAAGTGGGTAAGTTGATATTTAGCAGGCGCAAATTTAGAGGCATGTGTCCTCTCCCAGCGCTCTGCAACCTAGTGTACTTTGGTGAGTGTGTGGCAGTTGGCTGCGGCGGAGGTCCCATATGTCATGATGAAGATGTCGTCAATATATCCAAGTACAATTACGTCCGGGCACTCGGCGAGTATCTGCTTAATAAGATCTGCATTAAAGAATAGGAATAGGATTGGTGATAATGGGGAGCCCTGCGGAATGCCTGTATTGATTAGAAATTCCCCCATATTGCCCTCTAGGAGTGTGATTGACGTGCGGCGATTGCTTAGAAAGCTCTCAATCCAGCCAATCAGGTCATCTGGCACCCGGCGCTTTCGTAGGTCGTGTATCAGCCTTATATGATTGACGTTATCAAAAGCCCCTGCCGCGTCAAGTGCAAGCCCTGAGGCTACTCGTGAGCCCTCTCTCCACGCACTATGGGTCTCTTCTAGTAAGAGATGGATTGCTAGTTCGCATGAGCGGCCGCGATATCCTCCAATATGTTGCTTTGGTAAAAGATTATATTGCTCCACTAGATAGCTGAGACGTCTGGCTAACACTGATTCTAGTGCTTTGCCAATCGTGCTCAGTAACGCTATTGGGCGGTATGCCTTTGGATCAGAGTAATCAGGCTTTCCAGGCTTGCGAAGGATGACTGTTGTCGACTTTCGGAAATGGTCAGGGCAGTATTGTTGACGTAGACATGTATTAAAGAGATTAACGAGATAGGCCTCGATAGTAGGGAGCAGCCTTTGTAGGACCAGATTGGGGATCCCATCTGGCCCTGGTGCTTTGTCGGGCTTCACGTTGGTTACTGCCGTTTGGACTTCGTCTAACGTGATTGGTGGCATCGTATATGGTTTGGGATATCTATATTGTGGTCCAATATCTGACAGATCTGCCTCCGGGGGCTCTGGGTGGAGGACCTCTCAGAATAGAGCTGCTTTCTCCTTTGGGGCTGTGTAACTCGTGTTATTGTAGTATAATGTTGGGGTAAACGTGGCACGTGGTTTGCCCCTATTGCGGACCCAACGGGCAATTCTCCAGAATCCATCTATTGACTCTGTTGCCTGCTCAATTCGTTGGCGATGTAGATCTCGTGCGAGCTCATTGGTGCGCCGTTTCATCTCTTTCCTAGCCTCTGCGTAGTCCTCCCATGCCTGATCTGTATTTATACGACGTGCGTGTCGTCTACACCTAGATACGTGGTGTTTAAGCTTCGCCATCTCTGGGGTGTAGCCCGCTCGTGAGTAGATGCTGATCTGTTTTGTAGTGTCGCTTGCTCAGCTGCCTGATTGATTGCCTCAACTAGATAGCGGATCGCCTCATTGATCGCCTCATTGTCATTGAGCTCCCTTGGGGTGCCAATTGTATATGTCCATC